CTACTACGTTGGTGTTTCCAGGTTTGTATTTAATTTCATAGTTGTTTTCTTCCAAAATGGCTTTCAATATTTTTAATTTACTATTGGCGTGTTTGTTACTGAGGACATATGTTAAGGGCTGGTGATCTGTAAATATTTTAATTAGTTTCGTAATGATTTTAATGACCTTATTATTGCTAATACTTCCTTTTCATTCGTTGCGTAGGGTTCTGCTGTTTTCGTCAGTGTTCGTGATATAAAAGTTATTGGTTTTCCGTCTTGTTCCAGTACTGCACCTATTGCATATGTAGAGGCGTTGGTTGTTAGCTGAAATTCTTTGTTGAAGTTTGGGAATTCTAACATTACTTCGTTTGTAGTAATTGAATTCTTGATTTTGTTGAATGCTTCTATTGCTTGTTGATTTAGTGTTACTGCTATTTTGGCTGACATATTTTTGGACATTCGTCCCTCTTCCCCTCTCAAAAGGAGAGTTAGGGGTTTCGCGAGTTTGGCGTAATCCTTAATGAAACGTCTGTAAAAGCCAGACATTCCCAAGAATGACCTAAGCTCTTTTAACGTTTTTGGTGTCGGTAATCCACTGATTGTAGCTATTTTTAGTGGGTTAGTTTTTAATCCTTGAGTGGAAACTATGAATCCTAAATACTCAACTACTGATTTTAAAAATTCGCATTTGTTTAGCTGTACTTTCATATTATCTGTTTGTAGTATGTGAAAAATAGTTTCTATATTGTGAAAATGTTTTTTCTTCATCTTGTCCAAAAATTACTATATCGTCTATGTAAACGTAGCATTTTGTCCGTATGTGTTCTCTAAGAATGTCGTCTAATGTACTTTGAAATATAGCGGGTGCATTCTTTAAACCAAATGGTAAGCGGGTAATTTCGTATTTAACAATATTAATCGAAACAGCTGTTTTTCGAATATCCTGTAAAGAATGTGTTTTTACTAAGTTCGGTGAGGACTTCATTTATTTCTGAGATTGGGGTATTTGTCTGGTGTTGTTATATTGTATAGTTTACGGTAGTCTATTATCATTCTGTGTTTTTTTCTTTTGATGCAACGAGTTTACTTGGCACTATCCAGACTGGTGTGTTGTAAGGTGATCGTGAGTGTCTGATTATGCCTTGATCTAGCAATTCTTTGATTTGTTTTTCAATTTCTTCCTTCATTGCCATTGGGTAGGGGTAGTATTTTGAATAAACTGGCTTATCTGTTGTTGTTTTTATTTCTGCTAACACTGTCGTTGTATATGTCAATTTCTCTTTAGGTTCTGAAAAAAGAGCTGGATGTCTAGCGCATAGTGAGTGTAATTTTCTTGTTTGTTAGGTGAAATTCTTTTCGGTTCTGAGTTCTATTATATATTGTTAACTGATTTATGAGGACTTTTATGTTGTTTTTCACGAGCATATAGTCGTCGGATGTGTATATAACTGCGTTTAGCTGTTTTAGGTTATCTTTGCCAAGAATTGGGTGAAGGGATTTAAGTGTGGGTAAGATAAAAAATTTGTGTTTCTCTTCTTTGAGTCTGAATAGGTTGAGTTCGATGGGTTGTGATATTTCAATTTTGCCGCCTGAACTGGTATCTATTATTAGGTTAGTCTAAAAAATGAACATCTACGAAATCAATAAAATTGTTTTCTGGGTTGTCCTGCTCTTTTCTCATGTATTCGTTGTTGTATTCCTTCCATGGTTGCATTTCCTCATATTGGGTGTAGTCTTTATTATTTTCGTTAGTATCTTGTGCAATATGGTTGATTCGTTGGAATTTGTTCGGGTAGTTGTTGCTTAATTGGTTAGATGATGGTGGTGGTCGTTTTCTTGCAATTCCGTTGAAGTTGGGTCTATTTATGTAGTTGACTGCACTTATTTGTTGCGAATGGTCTATATCAATTGGAATTGGCATAGGCTGTGGTTTTGGTCCGTTAGGTCTAGGTGGTTGAACATTTTTTCGGTACTGTGGTCTACCGTTTTGATTTTGGCTGATAGGTTGTCTATTGAAGTAATCTTGTGACATTTGGTGATATGGTTTTGTTTGGTAATGCGGTGTTGTTTGGCGATATGTTGTGATTTGTGGTTGGTATGCTTGTTGGTGGATAAAATGGTTGTTTTTGGAAATGGTATTTCCTTGGAGGTACTGGGGGTTGATCCGTTCTACGGCTAGAGCTTTGGTTGTTGTGTATGTATTGTGCTCTGTATACTTGGTTATCAAATTTTAAGCAGAGATGAGGTGCTTGTGGTAGGTCTATTGGCTCCTTTGTTCCTAGAAGTCTAGGAAAATCTCCATTGAATCCTTTTATGAATGTATCCAAAGCTTTGTTGCTATAAGTCCTATTTCAAGGCTCGATAGATTATTGAGAATGAGAGAAAGGTGATTATAAATTTCTTGGTAAAGCTCTGGGATAGTCTTCCGTCCCTGTACTAAAAAGTCTAATTGGCATTCAAGGGTGGTAATGTCGCGTTTGTCCGCGTAATGGCTTGTTAGACAGTGTGAGATAGCTTTTCAGTCAAGTGGAGTATTATACGATTCTAGAACAAAGTCGGCGTCGCCTACAATTTTATTTCTAATGACGCTTAGGATACCGAAGTACTTTGGGTTACCTCTGATGAGTTGAATTCGGCAGGGTTGCCGGAGATTTCCCGCAAGCTTCGTATAATATCTGGTATTTTGTCGAGATCGTTTAATTGTCCACGGTATTCCAGGTCAATAGTCTGGTCAATTAACAATTCTACTGATAAGGGCTTCTAGTTCGGGAGTTGTATTGGGATTTTGTGGAGAGGGAAAATTTAGGTTTTGTGGAGAGGGAACGTTTGGAGTTAAAATGGGTGGTCTAATAATGTTTTGATTTTGCATTTTGCTTTAATGGTTCAATCAAATCAATTAATAATTTTGAATTATTTTATTTTTTTCTTTTTTACTTTACTAAAAAGTCTTTACTTTTTCAATTAAATATCATTATTTATTATATTAATAAATTCTTTCTTCTTTTTTTATACAAAAAATTGTTTGCTTAATTTTACTTGCTTATTATTATTTTTTATATATAACTTAAACTAGTTCTTACATAAGTAACATCCCACGGTGGTTCCGGATAGTCCTTTTTGGTTTGATTCTACTCGGGGCCGAAGATCCACACTCTTCGTGGTATGTGTGAGTTTATCCTACAATATTTTCTCACTTCTTCACTTAACGCGGAGAACTACTTTATGGCCTTATTTTTAGTGAACGCGAATTTGCACTAACGCGAGGCACTACTTTAGGGCCTTATCTTAGCGTACACGACTAGCACGTTAGACGCCAGTTAACTTACTTTTTGTAAGTTTTTGAAAAAAAATAAATTTTTTCTGTTGTGCTTAGCACATGTTTGTTGAATTCAAACTTAGAACTAATTTACAATCTCTATTTTCCTAAACATGAAGTGTCTGTGTCACGTTGTTATGCGGGTGCGCCTTCGTGTTGTTGTTGTTGTAGGCTGGCTGATGAAAGTTCCCATGCAGAGGCGACGCAGAGTCAGCATTTTGACCATTGCGCGTGTGGTGTCGTTTGCCCGTGGGATAATGGCCACTGCGAACTCTATACGCTTGCGTAAGTTAAAATATGTTGTCGGAAAGCTGCTTCAGCGTAACCGGTGTTAACTCTTACATACTCGAATTATACTAATTTCCACCGATACCAACTTTCTAAAATTCGGTGTACAAATTTTCGATAACATTGAACAAATATAATATTAGCTGTAGTAAAAGAAATCCATTACCTTTGTATGAAATTGAAGACTTTGATTTTTACTTTTCGCATCCAGCCTTATTAAAATGTTTCAAAACGGTTTTAGTGCAATGTTTAGCTCTTGGGCAATCGAAACAGTGTTTTTATAACGATTGGACTCGTCAATGTCCATGATTTTATCGATATTTTCGCCAAATGGGCTCTTACTTTGTGAAGCATCTTTTACATCAAAATAACCGGAATGAAACCAAAATTTTCAGCCGCAAGGTTTGCGGTTTCGCACTTATCGAAGAAAAACTGTAAAATATAGCGTATCTTCTCTCTACTAGTATCCATCTTTGTTTTCATTGCAGGCTCAAACAAAATTGAATCAATCACAAAACTGTCAAAAAAGCTTTTCTATTCCGAAATTTCGTCTTTCTAACGCTATCAGAGAATCTATAATAATGCTGTTTATACATTCTTAATTTCATTTTATAATCTAGCATTTGGTGTATTATTAAAAAAATCATTTATCATCCACACTTACAATACGTTCTTTGATTCGCGGAGAACATTCCCCTTCTATATACGGTTTTTACTAGTTCCTTACGTTCTTTGATTCTCGTTCAGCTGTTATACGCGCTAGCATCGCGTCTTCTCTACGTAACGTGATTTGTTATATTAACTCCTGAGCATTTCCTTCTGCCAACAGATGGCACTGAATAACAGAACAGAATCCATACTGTGGGCGCTATTACAAACGCCATGACAGCGAACATCATTGTTTTATTTTTTTCTACTGTCACTTCTTCCGCCTGTTTTGTTGTTGTTGCTGTTAATGTCAACCGGCAGAGCTGCCTTTGTCGCCTGGACTGCATATTACATTTTGTAGTTGCACATCGGTCCAATACGATTTGTTTGTTTACCTAGTTGACAGTTCCTGGAAAATCGTCACGGTGAATGTTTCTTAAACGATTACGCGGAAAAAGCTTTGAAAATAACTTCTGTGATGTTGCGGTAACAAACGGAAGTAACAAGAACACGGATGCACGTCAATCGAGGGTTAAGTGAATTTTTAATATTTCTATAGAAAACGAGTGTTGGACGCGTAAAAATATAATTAAATAAAATTTCGCAGTAAATATTTGTGCATACATAAATAGCGAATAAATGTTGACGAATAAGTGAAAAGAAAAACAAAGAAATGGGTACATACATATGTACATATACCTAAATAATTGCATATTTGTAATAAAACTAAAGCAAATTCATGTTTGTATGCTTATTTGTATGCATTTACGCACCAACAAATTTGTAGTTATTCATAAATATAATTACCCATTGAAATTCTAAAAGTTAATTTGTTTACACAATTAAAATGTCGTGTTCAGCAAACTTAATACTTGCCTTTGGATTATTTATCTTCTATGGAGCTTTGGTGCATTGCCATCTCAATGTTTATCTTAACCTGCATGAGGTGATGCGATTAATAGGTGAGTGTATTCTTGTTATTGTAAATAACAAGTGAGAGGAGGGAGGCGAAAAATAATGAAAATATAATAGTAAAAATTATAAAATAAATAAAAATATAATAAACTTAAAAATAAAATTTAAATATGAAATCATTTTGTATCTCGAGGGGAAATCCATAGAATACGACTTTATGTGTGGAGGTGATAATACCGTGGCTCTAAGTGACAATATTACTTTATATATACAAATGTTTTGAAAAATTTCAGGAAGTCTCCAGTTAGAACGATTCTTTGGTAGCCGTAGTGTTCATCACCACAGAGTTAATAAATAAGAAATTAAACAAATTTAATGTTAGAATGTAAAAAAATACAACTTGGAGGCTTAGACATTGTGACAATATATTTGTTGTTTGCTTGTAACATATTTGTGTTTTAATTTCGGTAAAAATTTAATCAAGAATAACAATAAAAGAATTGCTTGGGTTAACGCTACGCCTCAAATAAACCAGTAGTTTCATAAGCCGGACAGTAACATAGCCTGTATTTCTCACTCATTCCTGCTTCCCCTCTACAACTGTCGTCAAGTACTTTCAGGATCGCGTGAGCAAAAAGTATGTAAGCTTTCCTTCACTACCATAGAAATGTTCTTGGTGTACTTTAAGGAATTCCATCTTACACTCATCCGTCTGCCTACTCTTTCAGAAATTCCGTTGTAGAGCGGCTTTAGTATTTTATGTACTATCGCAAGATTGATAACAATTTTTTGCATCGTTGCAACTATTTCCCCCAAAAGCCCTTGAGGCTTGAAACCCAGTAGATATACAATATTTTTCCCTACAGCTATTTCTTCTACTGCTTCCTGTCTCTAAGGACATTTTCTGCTGTAATATTAAGTGCTGTTATTGCTTTAATTTCCAGCTATATGTTGCATCTTATATGTACAGCGGGTTTCCTTATCGCGAAGACCTCCTAATAGAAAAAAACTTAAATATAAGGTAGGTAAGTAAGTAGTTGATAGTACTTGAAATGCACACTTGGTAGATGATAAGAACTACTAAATAATTTGATTTCATTACATCTTAAGCTCGCAAATTATGGACAATGAACTAAGAATATCCAGGGACACTTAGTAAGGGTTATGCAGAGTTAATTGAGAATATTTTTATAGAATTTAAAAAAAAAAATACTTTCTACCTATCCACCAAAATCAGGTTAGAAGGATTTCAATAAGCTTGTTGAATGGTTGTCTGCATGGAAATGTGCATACATGTGTGCATATTTTCGAATGAACGAATGAGTCTACATAAACATTTTAATTTAATTCAATATAAATTATTCTTTGAGCAGCGTGGCTGGTATTTAACACTGCTGCAGAAAGTTGCTATGCATACCTATAATTCCATAAATACACATATATACCTGTGCAAGTACCTCAATACAAAAATTCAGTTAAATAGCAGGCGTGAGGTGTGAAAGAAACAAAGTTGAGTTGTGTGGCCACAAAAGTGGTGTTGCTGACGGTGTTTCCACCTGCGCATATTTATTTTTATTATCGCTATTGCTGTTATAGAGATATGCAAATGTACATATTTATATCCAGATGAAATGTGAAAGCATATGAAGATGCGCATGTGTGTGTTTATTGCAAATGCAGCCGACGGGCGAGAAGCATTAAGCGACCAACGACCGACGTTCAATGGTGCGGTTAAAGTAAATCGTGATAATTTGCGCAGCGGATGGATAAAGCGGAAATGCGGGTTGAAGAAGGTTGTGTTGTGACATGTCATAAATATAAATATGACAGATCCATAAAAGGACTAACCAGGCAATTGACTAAGCGAGGTATGGACGGACAGACAAACACTCCATTGATTGATCGATGTGCAAATGTGCAACAGATGTGTGTAGATTTCTATGTGCATTTGTTTGGCTTCAAAGTAGCTGTGGCAAAAGTAAAGCAATAAGCTCACCAGCCAATGATTATTGAATATATGATTGTTTATGCAGTCATAAGGGCTTGGCTTAATTATAAACAATAAAAAATCTTTGTTCGTTTTTCAGCTGATCTACTGATCAGTTCTGAGATAAGGTTTATGATACTGGCACCAAAACTAATGTTGTAAATATTATATTTGAACAGAACTTTACGAAAACCATTCTTGCGCTACTTTGTTGTCCTAAAAAAACCATTTGGTTTGGTCAAACTGATATTCAAAAATGTCTCACAAAAAATTATAGTAATGTATGTATATATAAAATAATAATTTGAAATGCATGACATGTTTAATAGGATTGTATTATAAGTGTATCAATAACAGGGCATTACCAAAATTTTTTAAATAAAAAATAAGAAAACTGTTAGATTTTTAATGGAAGAAATATCAGTTATTTTTCATAGAAATGGGTTTAATAGTGTTGAGTTTTAATGATAAATATGGTATAATTCGGAATACAATTTTTTTTTAAACAAAATATGTATGTAATTTTTTTTTTACAATTTGAAGAGGGGCTAGTGGTATGAAATTGAAGCTGCTCATCCTGGCCTTTTTAATGTAGTTTGATCTTCCTTCAATTAACGGGCTCGGCATGGTGAGCGCCTCGGTTTTCGTTCGCCGAGACAGAGCTTTACTTTTCAATTGCCTACTCAGCCCAAATTAGCACCTATCGGCAAGAATGATTCTGCGTTGGATTTCATGGCTGACATTGTTTTTGGTGTTTAATATTGGTTCCAAGTTAGACGAAACTATCTACGACTTCATAGTTATGACTGTTAACATTGTCTTGGGAGCCAAGTGGATCTTTGCTTAAATTTTTCACAACATTATTTTTAAAATGAATAAATAATAAACTGGCGCCGGAAAAAACAAGTTTTTATCAAATAAAGCAGCATTTATTTATGGCATCAAATCTACTCTCCAAGGTGGGTTAAAAAAAAGTGTTATAACCTTCCGGCAAGCTTACTCCACAAGCCGAAAAACAGCACCATTCTTAAATGGAGATAATTTTTTATTTAATAATAACATGTTTAAAAAGCCTTAAAATAACACGGGTTGTTATAAAAATCACATCATATTCGGTTGCCTACTTAGCCGAGATAAATAACAGTTTTTGCTTCTAAAAACTCATTTTGTTGAAATTAAATTCCATATTTTATGTGTGACAAAAATTATAGAAAACTATGCAAATTGATTATAATAATCAATAAAAATTGGTATAGTGAGTAAGTTAGGTTGGTGAGTAAGTTAGGTTAGGTTGTGGGTTTCACATAGTCCTCCATGGGGTTGCCAGACACACTACATATATACGACCAAGCTACATTGCTACAATCTTTGATGCGTCTCCTGTGTGAAGAAAATTGTTCTTCTTTTCACGAAAACAAAGCCATTGCTTCGTTAACAGTCCTACCTGCAGTATTAAACCCGCTCTCTTTACCAATAGGAAACTTAGTGTTATAAGTTTTGCAAATAGTTTTCTCAATTCTGCCGCCCTTTTCTCGCTCCCAAAGTATTTTCGCTTGACGAAATAAGATGATTTCTCACGTTTGCTTTGCTTTGTGAGTGAAACTGTTATGTTCATTATTACGTCTTGTTCTAAAAGAATACCCGTGTCTAGTAAATGTAAAATGTGTAGCAATGGTTTGGTAGCGTATATAACTTCCTGATTTCTATTCCTTCGTTAAATTTAGAACCATCTGTAAAAATATGAAGGGCTTTGTCTGCATATTTCGAACATTTGCGCCTGTGTTGTTTTGCTGACAATAGCTTCCCCAAAGATAGGCGTGGTATAACGTGGTTTATTGGTATGCTTAGGGGTAATGCTATATTACTCTCTTTCAGTTGCCTAGAAGCGTATAAATTGTGTTGTTTTGAAGGATCTAGTTATGGCGATCATTGAAAGTCTGAAGATCCATTCCACCATATGCAGAGCTTCCATAGCAAGCTTCAAAAAGTTTGCTTTAGAACGTACAACTCTGCCACCGGCTCTTCGAAATATAGCGCTTTGACACTGCCGATGGAAAATGGACGCCAAGTAGCGTTATTATGAAAGTGATATGTCCAGCAAAAAGGAGACTGACACCCACCCACCACTGTAGTGTAGTGTGTATTTGCGTCCATGATTACCAGTTTTCCTTTGCGCAGGCATTACTATGGCAGCGACTTCAGTTCACTTCGAGAGTCTTGGATATTGTGGGCCATGTAGCATGAGGCTAGGATGAAGATACCCTCTTTGTCCCGTTAAATGGCCACTAACAGCATGTTCCCGATCCTTTCTTACTACTGCTTCCTTCTTGCTAACTCCATGAAGTATATGTCGAAGCTTGCTGTCTGCATTACAGAAATCTTTCCCCTACTTGCAAGCCATGGTTCCTGGAACAACATTATGTCGAACGACTCCTCTTCGAGTGCAAGTGGAAGTTCCCCCGAAGGCACCTTATTACGCTGCAGATTTTTCAGCACTTTTAGACTTCCTTCCTCAACACCGTTGTGGCTGAGCAATTCTCAAGTAAGGCAGAATCAGGTCATGGGTCCTTCTCAACTTCCTCCGCCTCTAGTGTGTTTGAGTTGGGATCTTTCATACTCCTCTTCCTTAGGCGTTGGATTACACTGCTCATATCCAATTAGTACTTTGCAAAAAACTGACCAAGAGCACATTTATTTCATGTGTTAATACGTCACAGCATATAAAATTAATAATAATTATATTTCTTTTTAAAAAAAATTTTTAAGAGACTTTCGTTTGGTTTAAGAAACATATAAAACGCGGAAAAATTTAATTGGTGGTTTAAAGACCAATTATCAAAATTCGGTGCGAAATTTAGTTACAAGATTAAAAAAAAAACTGACCATAAAATGTAAAAAGTGCACGAAGTTCGATTAAAAAATTAAAAAATTTTCGAATGTTTTCCATGTGCAAGTCGATTAAATTATAGAGCAAACTGAACACTGCGCGAGCTGTCAAGAATGGTGTTGCCAAATAGTAAGTTTGTTAAAAAGTAATTCTTTAGTTGCAATCAACTAAGA